AAAGAGCTCTAACAATTTCTCAAAAGTACCAACGTCCCTTGTGCGCACACCGAGTAGGACATCATCAACAAGTCTCGTCCAAATACCAACCTTGCTGACCTTTCCAAACTCATTACGAAGTGGTGCTCAGCATAGGCACCCAAAATGCAGGTAAGTGGTGGGCTCATGTATTTACCCATGGGGATGTCAACCACATGTTGTAACAAGACCCCAATGACTGATGTCTATGGCATTGTATGTTTAAGCCCCAAAACCAGAAATCTGAGGATATCCTGCAGATTTCTGTTTTTGTTTTTTTATCAAACTTCAGCCAACGCCCAACAACCTGCAGTGGGGGCGATAAGAAAAAAAAGAAAAAAAAAAAACCACCTCCAGTCTCTGGCTCGAGACTAGCTTTAGATGACTCCGATCTCTTTGCAGGGAGCAGCATGTGCTGGGCACCTAGTTCAACATTCCATGATGCACAGCAGGTAACCACTGTGGATCATGATCGTATTGGTTACCTTGGGAAAAAGCAGAGAGATACTTTCCTGTTTTCTCCAGACCGCCAGACTGAGTCCGAGTCTCTTCTTGTCATTTTGCTCCTCCTATATGGGGTACTTTGTTGGTTTAAAAGAGAAAAATGACAAGAAAAGACTGGGGTCTGGAGAAAACAGAAAATTATTTCTCTGCTCTTTCCCAAGGCAACAAATACGATCCCGATCCACAATGTTTACCTGTTGTGCATCAAACACTGAATTCGTAAAAACCTAGCAAAACTATAAAACCTTACATTTTTTATAGAATGAAAAAATAAAAGTCAAACTGTTATTTTTGACACATAAAAGAGAGCGTTTTTAACTGTTTTTCAAAAAAGGAGGCAAAAAAATGGGTAAAAAGTCTAGCGATTCTTAAACCACCAGTACTTGGCCGAGCTATTGGACGCGGGAAAAAATAGAATAGAAACGTTTCTAGTTGGATGAAGTTGGGTGCTCCTGTAGTGGCCCGTACGTTTCCTAAAATCACGTAGCGTTAACGAGCATGCCTTTATGAAGTACTGGTGGTTTAATATGTGCAATAAAATTATTTCCGGGAAATAGTATATTATAAAATTATAAGCCATTCATAGTAGATTGGCAAAAAACATACCTCAAACAAGATAATTTTAAAGGACTGCAAGGTGAACTCGAAAGATGTTAAAAAAATAGTTTCTATGAATACTCATTTATAGAACTATAAGTCGTTTTCAACAGTTTGGTAAAAAACAAGTTCTGTGAAAACTAAGTTTATAGAACTATAAATTAATATAAATTTATTTGTAAGCTAATTGTAAAACCCTTGTCAAAAAATATTTGTTATGTAAAATAATAATTCAAACAACTTTTGCTTCGGAGACATCTTCAAATTCTTAGCCAACGGTTACCACGATTTAAAATAAAAAAATAAAAAAATATTTTAATAAAAAACACTAAAAAACAATATATTTGTCCATGTATGAGAGAACATATCCAAACAAACATATTCATGAACAGGAGAATATGTGTGCGTGTTTGGGAAACCTATTAATAGGTTCGTCATGCTACATACCTTATAGAACTATAAATATGATTTTTTTAGATGAACAAAAAATTGGGGTATTTCGGTTTCTGAACAAACGGTGCTTTGCGAGGTAGTGATTTTTGTAAAAAAAGTTGCTTCTCTCCTCATCACTTCCAGTGGTTCTAAAAAATTACTTTTTTATTCTTTTTTTTTTTTAATTTACGTCACATAGAATTTTGTTCATGTAGGAGGCTTGAAAAATGTTCTATCATAATCCTTAAAAGTTTTCGTGCAAACCTAACGATTTTCAAGCCAACCCCACATAAATACTTTTAATCTGCTGCCCTTCTACTGAGAAGTTCATAACGGAGCATCCAGATCCTGTGGCTAGCCTTTACAACAACGAGGACTTTTTTTACAAGGGAAAAAAAAAAGAGCATGATGCAGGTGTCAGGGCCCCTAGGACTGCTAGCCCAGAGAGAAAAAATACACCACACCAACAGGCTCAGTTGGTACACCCATGAACTTTTGAAATGCCGACGTGTGTTCGAATCTTAATGGAACTACAACGTGAACGCAAAATCTTTTTTTTTGTTTTTTTTTGGGAAATGAACAAAAATTCTGAACCGCCTTGATATGTGTCCGTGGTCAGTTCAACGATGATTTAAAAAAAAAAACAAAAAAAAAAAAATGCGCCTGCCAGCCTGGTCCATGGTCCAGAGCACCACGGCGTGCGCTGGTTCCAGAGTCGATATCAGGGAGTAATCTTCGTCGGTTCAGCAGGGGCCTGGTCCCACTAGGAAAGAGGATTGGATAATTCCGGAATCCGGATGCGTTTTGTAGAGAGATGCAGAAACGCAGATTAACCGTAACTTTCTGAATCTCTCCACAAACACGTCCAGATTCAGGAATCAATTCCAATCTGTTTTGCTAATGGGACCAGGCCCTAGCCCTAACCAGCAATAAGAGGTGGTACATAAACGTCTAGGTGATCTCCCATGGACGAACTCCCCCATTGTTGCCTTCTTTTTTCTTTTTTTTTTTGGATGAACAACCCGAGGTGGTGCTAGAGGTGCTGATAAGAGCAGACACCACTAGCACTGTCGGGAAAGCTCCATCTATTGGTGGGGTAGGGATGGCTCCATCTATTGGTGGGGAGCAACACCTGCTGGAAATCGGGTCCAGGATCCCTGAACATCAAAGTTGATTATTTACCAAAAACTCCGATTGTCGCGAGGACCGCTCTCAGAATAGGGAATTTGACCGATAGTCCCCACGACAACCTGAGCAGGTAGCCTACATGACAAGGTTAGATAGGCAGGACCTGTTGCTCATTGTAGATGTTGTCGAGCTCCACATACCGTTGGGGCTGCCAGTAATTCCCAACCCTTGTTGGAACTCAGCCATTACGATCATGGCTCTACCCCCTCTCAGGAATTGCAGACTGTCATTCTTGACTCTTCCCTCCCCTTAGGTCTGACAGACTCTACCAATTCCGCTAATTGCGGCCCCTCCTTTTAGACTTGACTAGTCTGCCAGGCAGACTCAGTCTGCGTTATGAGTGCTGTTGGTCTGCTAGTGCTGCAACTGGTTGGAACTCAGAGTAACTCTAGTAGTAGGGGTACTTATCCCATTATCCTCTCCTTTCATAACCCAGTTTATTTCTTTCAGACCTACATCAGAGCTTGCTGGTATGTGGCGTTCCATCCAGTTCTGTTTGGGTCTCTTCCATCTGCTCCATATCTTCCAGTGTTTGGAAGGTTGTGGCATATAGGTGGCTTGCCCCTGCTGCTGCTTGAACACGTCAATGCCTGGCCAGGGCTTGTATGCTGTGTCCGTGTGAACAGCCCGGCACTGTCGCTGCCATCCATTGCGCGTGCTAAGTCGCAGCGAGTGGAAAGAGCCGTGCAGCTGGGCTCTGTGCATCCACCGTCTACGACATCCACGGCCACGGGATAGCCCCGGATGGTAGCTGAGCGGTGCATTCCCTCGCCTATTCCGTGAAGGAGTTCATACCGGCTCACTTGCCCCCGCCCTCCCAACAAAGAAAAGAAAGAGAAAAACAAACGAGAGAGACGAATCTCGAACCTAAAACCAGACCAGATTCACTTCGCTCAAGAAAAACAACAGAACAGCATGCGGTGTGATGACAGCCGACAGCGGATTGCCCCTCGATCTTCTGCTCATCAACGGTGGAACAATGAACAGAACCCGGCTATCAGTCATGATATCTGCTCTACCTCTTCTGTACTACTTGGCTGTGCGCTTGCCCTACGTAGTGGCCCCACAAAAGCCTCCAAAGTCCTTCGGGACATCCGTTAAAATTGGAACGATACAGAGTCACAGACACACAGACACACAGAAAGATTAGCAAGGATGACGCGCATAACTCGAGAAATGGTCCGAAAAAAAGAAAAAGCCTCCAAAATAGTTCTTTAAAAAGAAAAAAAGAAAAAACGGCGACAGCCTTGGGATATCAATATTGATATTGACCGGCCCCGGGCAATTTACTCGTCGAGTTTCATCATCATCTGGATTCGAACTCGGGTTCGTATTCCAACGGTTCAGGGGTGTAGCCACTGAGATAGGCTCCTGGGTTCTCCAGAGTGGTTGAGATGATCACAATAGCGAAACTTACATTGTCCATCCCTTTATGGGTAATGCATGGTGCTGGGGGGGTGGGTAAGACATCACCGTCACCGTACACTCAGGGTTCAAACTGCAGTCAGCGTCTGCTCCCCGATGAGAACACCTCACACTTCTCAAGCAAGACCAGCAAAGCTCGCTCGATCGACGGGCATCCTTCTGCGTGCCACTTTTGGGTAACTTACAGCTGTGGCCAAGGGGGGGAAGGATCGTTCCGTTCCCTCTTTTTTTCTCTTTTCTTTTTTTTTTTGACATGTTGTTTTGCCCCTTCCCACATCGTTAGTTGGGACAAATAGAGGAATCCGATGCATTTGGATGCTCCAAATCGTACACAAAAGCCGAAGAGAGGTTCCGATTTGGACGAAGGTGAGGTCGGTGGAGTGGCCATGGAATGGCGGCTCGAGTCATCGGATGCGGAGATCTTGATAAGCAAGGAGTCCGACACGGAGCAGGACACGTGTACATCCGTGTCCATGCATTAGTCGATTCAAATGAGAAAAGCTACCAACGAGGAGGGAAAGGAGACTGGGAATATGGGAGAGGGGCAGTGGTAAGAAGACGTATACGTAACCGGAGGAAGACAACGGCAGCGGCGATGGCGGCAGCAGCCACGGGGAGGATGGAGGAGGAGGAGGAGGAGGAGGAGCAAAGCAGCAACAGCAACAGCAACAGCAACAGCAACAGCAACAGCAAAAGAAGAAGAAGAAGAAGAAGAGAGTGAGAAGGAGTGTGGAAAAGGAAGCCCGAGGAAGAGAAGGGTGCGAGGAGAAAGAGAGGAGCAAGGGAGTTGAAGCAGGAGAAGGCGTTGATGTAACACACACATATCAATCAAGTCGTCGTCGGTTTTGGAAACTCGGAAAACATAATTCTCTAATACAAGCGATAGAGGACCTGCTAAACCCCTAATTACAGTAGTAACAGCAACAACAACGAGAAGATGAGGGAGGGAGGGAGGGAGGGAGAGAGGGAGGGAGGGACCTATCCCGCCCTCTTCAGCCTCATCCTGTTGGTCCCGCTACGGCAAGGGAACCGGCTCTTCCCTGTCCACCCCGCTCCCCACCGCAAGCCCTCATCTCCCTTTCGATTCCATCCCCTTACTCACCCCAACCCCCCCTACCTGTCGCCCCCTTACCCTACAGTAGCCCCCACGTGTTAATAAATAAAATGATTAATGACTCCAGTAACCGGAGTCGTAACGATCAGTGTCCTCGTCGTCTGATGGACCGTTCTTCCAGAGGTCGGAAATCCGTCTCTCTGCCTCTCCATCGCTCCAAGTGTGACGACTGGGGGGAGGTGCTCTTTTCTTCGACATACCTCTGTAAGATCTACTTTTCAACGATTCCCATCCCCCTCTCCCCCTACCGGTTTTCACATTCCCCCCTCCTAGAAAGTCTACCTCGGGCGAGTAAGGTGGGATCTCCCCTAGTCGGATTGCCCTCTGCTGGTCAGTTATGCTCTTTGCCAGGCGCGTGTAGGGGTTCCCCGGGTCGTAGGCCCTGAACCCTGGTACTTGGTACCCGGCTGCTGACCGTACCTGGTCCTTGTTTGGGTCCAGCCACCTCATGATGGTCCCACCATTCAGCCGAATGGTCCCGGTACTCGCCGATCCTTGGAAGGACAGATGGAGCTTGCGCAGCAGAGCTGTGACGGCCTGGGCGCTCCGGCCGGCAATACGAACTGTCGTGTTCTTCCCTCCCACCACACTGCTCCTGTTCTCTACGGCCAGCTGCAAGGTCACGGTCTTTACACCCCCGGAGTCTAGCCCGGATGTTCGTCTTCTCCTGCAGGATTTGAGCAGAGCGAGCACACAAACCTCAGCCAGATGGGCCGGCATATCAGTCATGTCCACCACGATGGACCCGGTTAAGCAGGAGAACTGAGGGACGAGTCCCATCGCCGCAGCTTCTTCGTACAAAGACACCGCCTTCCGATCATAGAGGCCCAGGCCATCACCTCCTGAGCTTCCCTGCGCGGGTCGATTGCGACGATTGCTCCGCTTGTTGATGCGGTGGGCAGTCGATGTTTCAGGCGTGGATATGGTGGGGAAGCCGTTCAAAGCGTAGTACCTCTGCTGGTCAGCCGGGGTGTCACCCAGCATCCCTTCGCTCAGACCCCATGTCGCACAATAGGGACTGTCGGGGATCTTAACACAGCCCATGAGCATGGACAGCACAGGCTTGGTGGGCGTGACGCCGGCCGCCAAGGTCTCCCTGTACACAGCGAGCGATCGTGCCGCCCACTGTTGATGAGCTGGCTTCTCCGACGCGTCCCAAGACGTCTGCCCCAGCGAAAACGTGCCGGACTTGGGCGGAGGCGCGCCTTTCCTGATCTGCATGAGCGTCAGGCTGATCAGATCCGCGCAGGCGGAGAGGAAAGGGCGGATACCCTCCGATCGTGCTGCGGCGTACAGGGCAAAGGCGCGATCCGCCTCTCCTTGCCGGGCACAGGCGGAGAGCAGCAAGTCGTACGTGATCTGGTTAGGCTGGACACCACTTGCCCTCATCTCCTCCAGGGTGGCGACCGCCATATCCAAGTTGCCGGCGGTCCCGTGAAGCTTGATGAGAGAGTTGAAGGTGGAGGTGGAACAGGTCACCCCATCAGCCTTCAGCTTGGCGTAGAGCGCGAGCCCGCGCTCGCGCCCAACCTCCCCCCCCTCCCCGCCCTCCCCCCGGGCCGCCCTTGCGCAAACGCCCATCAGCGCGCTGTTGACGACGGCGTCGGCCTGGAGACCCATTCGCTGCATGTCCTCGAGAAATCCGAATGCGACGTCGAGCTCGCCGGCGTGCCCAGCCACGTCGATCAGGGCGCTGAAGAAGACCTGGTCGGGACGGACCCCGGCCCTCTTCATGTCGTTGTAAATGGACAGCGCCTGGCGAAGATCCCCGCTCGCGCTGCATGCATGCACCGCGGTCGTGAACGCGCGACACGTGGCGCGCATGCGCTCCCCCCCCTGCCTCATCCATTTGTAGACTTGCAGGGCCCGCTGCAAATCCCCCACTCGCGCGCAGGCGTCCATCAACGTCCCCAGGGTGACCGCATTCGCCTCGATTCCCGCCACCTTCATGTCCTCGTGCACTTCGAAGGCGCGGTCCACAGCGCCCGCTCGACTGCACGCGTTTATCAACGTGTTGAAGACCACACGGTCAGGGTTCAAACCCTTGGTCTGTATGATTCCATACACGCCGAACGCCTTGGTCATCTGTCCCGCCCGCGCGCACCCGTCTATCAACGCTCCATACGTCTTCACATTGGGATCCAGACCTGCCCCCTCCATCTCGTGGTAAATCTTGAAGGCCAGCTCCAGTCGGCCTGCCTTGGCACACGTGCTGATCAGAGCGGTATACAGAATGCAATCGGGACGGTGCTCGGCCCGTACAGCGTCTGCAAACACTTTGAGAGCGTTGTCCACGTCTGCGGCCGCTGCGCACACCGACAAGGCCAGGCTGAAAACTTGCAAAGGCGGCTTTTTGAGCAGCCTCACGAATCGGAGAGCCTCGGAGACGGCCTTCTTCTTCTTGCACTCCAGTAAGAATGCCTTGTGTGATACCTTCCGGTTGCCACCCTGCACGCTGATGTTGGTGAAGACCACGCTGTCCGGTGCCTCGCGTCTTATCTCTTCTAGAACCGCCACGGCCTCCGTCAGCCTGCCTTTCTTCCTGAGTCTGTTGTAGTCTTCCAATTTCTCCTCCTCATCATACACCACACCCACTGTCGCCTCCATACCCCGACCCGACTGCCGAGCGTCGACCGACCACACTCGATGCTCAACCAGAGTCGAGGCAACTACTACTCCTCGGGCGAGAGACGCTGAATCCGGCATTGACGATTGAGACGAAGACGGCAAAGCAGGACCGGAGTACGCGTCAGAGGAGGAGGAGGAGGAGGAGGTCGGCACTCCTGCATCATCGTCATCCTTTGTGTTAATCACTGGTGCATCGATTTCCGCATCCATGACCTTGCTGCTGCTGCTGCTGCTGCTGGTCACCTCCATCATCGGCAGCTCATTACCTGCTGTCCGGGTCCGGATTCGGGTTCCGGTTGGGGTCCGGGTTGCCTGCTTAGCCCTTCCCTCCTCTTGCACGTGGCCATCGTCGGAATCATTGGCGGTTCGCAAAGTTGTCGTCTTCCCATTCTTCTCCTGCTTCTGGCGGCCATCAACACGATAGCTTTGAGTTCCCTCTTCTCTCGCGGTGCTAGTCCCCTCCCTTTCCCCTTCCCCTTCCTCCGCCCTGTGCCCTCTTCTTCCGGCTTGTCTTTCTTCCTCTTCCCCTAGCTCTTCCTTTAACTCTCCCTCCCTCGACCCGCTAACCCACCTACCCTCTTCGTCCAAATGAGAGGACCTCTGCTCCTCCGCTGTGGCTCGCGATCCGGCATCCGGCAGTGACACGCTGGCGCTACGAGTCATATTCCCTCTCTGGCCCCGTGCCCCCTCCTCCTCGCCTCTCCTCGCACTGCTGCTTAATTCCCCGGAGTCGTCCGCATTCTCTAAGATTGATCCAACCCCACTATCTAATATGTGATCAGCGACCGGTCGGCCGGTGGTTGAGGTGCCGCTGCTGAACTCGGATGAAGTCGTATCCTCCTCCTCCTCAGCCATTACTCGCCCGACACCATGTTCATCACGACTGACGTCAACTTGAAAGCCATTAACGACAACTCTCTTGCCGTTTACCGCTACCGGTTGGTTAAGGGGCCTATCGTTGGGCGACATTATGCCGTCGTAATGTTCAGCCAGGCCTCCATTCGGCGAGTGCCAATTCGAGCCTTCAATAGCATGGCCTTGGCCTTGGCCTTGGCCAGCAACGTGGCCTTGGTCAGCAAAGTCAGAGTGAGAGGGAGAGGAGGACCTGGACGTGGACGGAGAAGAGAGTTGGGAGGAGAAGAGGGAGAGGGAGGAAGGTGAAGAACTGGCCGTTTCCTCCTCCTCGCCGTTGCCTTCAGCTTCGTCCTCCTGTTCCTCCTGCTGGGGAAAGTCGAAGTCAACGCCCTTCCCCGCATGCACACCATCCGCTGCTGGATTGCTTACAGCCCCATCACTTGGGCTTGGGGTGGTCCCCTCTCCCTCAAGCTCACTGATCCAGGCTTCTAGAAGGACCGGTCGCCCGTCCCCGACGAAGCTCGCTAGCGTTCCTTGGACGGCTACATGCAGATCTGTTGCCGCGTCGACAGTATGGGTGACCACGTGAGTGCGAACCTCTCCTGCCGCGTCCACAAGGGAAAGATCCTGCGCCGAGTTCTGTCCCAGCGTCAGCCACGTGGCGCACAGTGGCGACGAGCACGTGTCTCCTCCCTCTGCAACTGCCACGTAGGCCGCAGAAACCGTCGGTTCCGTAGAAAGGGACCCAACCGTCGCACTGTGATGATGATGTGACGACGATGACGACGAGTCCATGTTAGCTGAGAGCGCAAGCACCTCTGTTCTCTTTCCCGCCATAGCTCGTTCTTCCCGCCCATCTACTTTGTCAGTAATCCTGTTTAGGACGTTGGCATTGGCATTCCCGCCTGCAACTGCGGACGAAGCGGCCAGCATGTGTGTGGAAGGTGCTACGGAGGGGGTAGAGGTAGTGGGTTCTGAGTGCCCCTTGCCCGTACGTGCGAAGTACAGCCAGCAGACTGGCACCGCAACGGCCGCGGCGACGGCCATAGCTGCGACCTCGGGACCGGATGGGAGGGCAGAAGCGGTCGTGGTAAGGGACTTCATCTTCTCCCCGCCTCTGTTGCATGGAGAAGAATGATATGGACGAAGAACGAGGCCATGGCAGAAACCAACTTGGTCTTTACGCCGATTGCCGAAACCAGTAGTTGGGAGAGAGCTGTTACCAACGCCCTGTTGTATCTTCATTCCTGTGGCAGATGAACAGGAGGGGGAGGAGGTTGTGATGGGTGTCGTCGCACTCGCAGCCAGACATCCTCCTCCACGGGATAATGGCGATGCCGTTGCCGTTCCCCTGTGCAGTACCACCCTCAAACCCGCTGTCACGTCCATCTCTCTCTGTCACACAACTGGTCCGATTCCCACCCCTCTCTGCACACACACACACACACACACACACACACACACACACACACACACACACACACAGAATGTGTGTGTGTGGGTGTGTGAGAGAGAG